AGGTTTAATGGGAATTTAACCGAGACGAAAGGAAATACATACGGTAACCAAATATGTATAATAGGATGATCAAGTCATTAATCTAACTAGTTCTGGGGCAACAAAGCATTGCTAGTGCTTTGTGTTGTCATTAAATGAGTTGTGGGCTTGTTGGGCCGGAGCCCATTTATGTCTGTGGCTATGTTGGACCTAATGGGTCACACACTAACACCTTATTGTCATGATGATCTAGCATTAAAGGTATTGGGCCTAATAATGGTTGTTAGCTCAAGAAGAAGTTTGGAAGCCCACCTAAAAAGGAAAAGGGCGCATGGATCATGTAATGGGCTTGAATGGTCCAAGATATTACTAATTAATTTAATTAGTTAAATTAATTATCAAATATTTAAATTTTGAATTTGAATTTGAATTTTGAATTTAAATTTTGAAATTTGAATTTTTGAATTTGAAATTTGAAATTTGAATTTGAATTTTGAAATTTGAATTTTGAGTTTTGAACTTAAATTTAGAATATGAATTTTGAATTTAAATGTTTGAACGTTTGAATTTAAATGTTTGAATTCGAATTTGAATTGGCTATGAAAAATTATTTTTTAACAAAAAGATACGATAAGATCTTGTTGGAACAAATCCCTAGTAGTAAGAGGAGATCTTTGATCACATCCAAGGCTGAATTTGGGGCGCCACTTTGGTTGTTGCGAGTGTCATCTTGTCAACCAAATAAGCTCCAAATCAGATTTGGTTGGTTGAGAGAATCAGTGAGTGAGTTGGTTCAAATTTGAATGCAACTGCTCAACGTATCTGGACCGTTTCTGGGGCTGAAGGGGGCGCACATATGGCTGGCCATATGATGGCCATTAGATCAGAATTTTGACTAGGTTAAGACCTAGTCTCATGAGGATTCAAAGGTAGGTTGTTGGGAATTTTGAATTGCAACAACTCCACCTTTTTCTCCCTCTTTGTGCGCCACCTCAATCAGTTTTTTAAGTGAAAAATCTGATTGCATCATGACTCTCTCTTCACACTCTTGTGCGCCAACTTGGGTAGGTTCTCCTTAGGGTTTTTCACAAAAACACCTAGCCAATTCTACTCCACTCTATGCGCCACTTTTGTGAGGTTTTCTTGCTGAAAATATCACTCTTCTAAATACATTCACCTTACCTCCTCCTTCACCTATTGAGCGCATAACAAGCCTCTTTGTGGTGATCAATTGGTGGTTCTTCAAGAAAGAGTTCTTGCATCTTGACGTGGGTGGTGTGGATCAACGTTAGAGGGTTTGAACCCTTCAAACTTGACACTGATCTCCTTGGTGTTTGAATCACAAACAAAGGTAACATCATGTTGTCTTAAAGCATGAGTCTTGATTGCATGTGTGATTCCGCTTGAGAAATTTTTTTGTTTTTCCCTCTCACATGCTTCGGCCTTCAAGGCCATTTAACTTTCAAGTGGTATCAGAGCCCGGTTGCTTTACCATCGGCGGGTGATGGTACCTTGTCTGTGAAAATTGTTTTTCACGGTAAAAAAACTTTAAAAGGTTAAAGCTTGAATTTTTGCATATGGATTTTGAATTACAATGCTTTAAATTGTTAAAGTTTTTTTTTATGAACATGTTAATGTGATTGCTATGTTCATATATCTATATGTAGTCATGGTTTCGTTTCTTTTTCTTTGTGAAATTTTTAAAAGGAAACACATTTTTGAAAGGGATGATTCGGCCATGAAGGGTACTTAGAGTACCTTGATTGTTTTCTTATTTTTTTCCATGAATTGTTTCATGAGCATAGCATGAATTTTTATGACAAAATTTATCATATACATGCATATATGATTCGGCCATTAAAGGGTTTATGGCTGCATGCATGGTTTAATTTTGTGTTCTTTAAGAAAGAGTTAGCAAAATTTGAATTATAAAAGTTGTTATATATAATTTGGCCATTAAGAGAAAATTAAGAAAATTTGAATCATGAGTAATTATATTTTAATTGTTAAAATGTTGAGACGTGTGAAGGACATATTTTATGATATTTGATATCTTGTGCTTGCAAAGTTGTTTAACCTTTCAGGTGCAAAGAGGAAGGGGATGGTCATGGTGCCCGAAATTTAAATTTTAAATTTTAAATTAAAGGTGTAATTTTGCTCTATTTAAATTAGGGGTGTAATTTGAATTTTGAATTTTGTAATTTTCATCTGTCCCTCCAAAGATGTTTTGGAGTTTCTTTAATTATTTGTAATTAGAGAATTAGGCTAGTGGCGTTTAGACGACAAGCAGTCGTGGCTTGAGAAGCAAGATGCACGAATGCGCGAGCACCATGACTGTCTCAAATAAACGTGTTTTATATGCTTGTATGCTATGTACGACTAGTATGCATGAGATAGTGTATCGCGAATGTATGCTTTTATGACTTAAGACGTCTAGTATGCATGAATTGGACAAATCGCGTTTGTATGGCTTATTATGCACGTCCAATTGCGACTAGTGTAAACCGATAAATGTTTGACATAGGTTACGACTAGCATGATAACATACATATGCGTTTGATGAGACTTAGTAAACCCTAAATAAAAGGAACCCTTAAAAGGAATAAATTATTAAGCACATGATTACCTCCCACCACCAATATTACTCAAACATCTTCTAAATAGTGGTGCTCCACAACTCAGTTGGGACCCATTGTTTCGTTGAGCAAGAGTAGTGTTAGAAGTGTGAGACACTTAGGTTGCTGGTTAGTGCTTAACTGAGGCATAAGTTGTAAGCTCAGCCGGACTTATGTGCTTAGGGTAATAGTGCTAGGTTGGTTGCATGAGATGCACCACTAAGTGACAAGGAGTTGTCAACCTAATGTTAAGAGAGGGTATGAGATACTGTTGATATGGATCAACCCATTATTTAAATTAATCTTGCGGTCTCAGACAGGGGTTAAAATAAATAATCGCACTCTTAATCTCACTAAGGTAAAATCTAAAAGTAGATTAACCCTAAGTCAAATAGTAAGGGTCATTGACTTAGATAAAATAGTGGGAGGGGAAAATTATTTAAAGTCTTTAATAATTTGTAACACGACAATATATATTAATTAATCTATCTTTACATTTTCAGTTTTTAGTATGACTAATCCACTGTCATGCGCTCAATACTCGATACGAACGAACTGACTGGCCTTAATTTTATGGACTGGTATCGGAACGTCAGAAATGTTCTGCGGGCCGAAAAAGTTGCTTATGTCCTTGACACTGCTTTACCTATTGCGCCTAAGGAAGGGGAAGATGGGTTTGCAGAATTTGATTTCGAAGCCCACAAGCAACACATGGATGATAATGTGTTGGCTCGTTGCATCATGCTGGCATCCATGTCGCCTGAACTGCGTAAAACAGCACGAGCATATGGATGCCCCCTCTATTATCCTGCATCTCAGGGAGTTGTATGATATTAAAGGCAGACATGAGAGGTATGAGACCTTTAGGGAATTGTTCCTATGCAAGATGACTAAAGGCATGTGTTTTAACCACCATGTAATGAAGATGATAGCGCTCATTGAGAAGCTAGAGGGTCTAGGGTTCACAATGGATGTTGAATTAATTAATGACTTAGTTCTATCATCACTTCCTCCTTCTTTCAGTGAATTCATAATGAATTATAACATGCATGGGATGCTTGTGAGCTTGCCAGAGTTGTTAAGTATGTTAACAACTGCTGAAATGTCTATCAAAAAGGATGAGACACAAGCTCTTCTGATTGGTGGGCCTGAAAGGGCCAAGGGTAAGGGCAAGGAGCCTGCGAAAGGCAACTCCCTTAAGCCCAAAGGAAAGTCCAAAAGGAAGAAAGGCAAAAAGAAGGGTAAAAGTGCACCCAAGGACCAAAGCGATGATGTGTGCTTCCATTGTGGCAAAAAGGGTCATTGAAAGATGAATTGTCCAGACTACTTGAAGAGTGTGAAGGAGCATAGTGATGCTTCTTAATGCTCAACGACAAGTGTACCGATCGCACAAGTAATATAGATAGTAAGCAAAGTATCGTCTCCACAGGGATTGGGTCGAATATCAATTAATTGTTCCTTTTAAGAATGGAAGAGTTCAAAGGTTGTGACAAATATTGTCGAATTGTGTGAAATTGCGAACTGAAAATAAAGACTTGTTTTTGTAATTTTTGCTTATGAGAAATAGACAATAAAAATAAGAATTGGTTTGTGAAAATATGAGAAAAGCATTGTAGATAGAGCGCACTCACCTTATGATCCTCACTTCTTACTTTGGATTGATTTACAATATTCATTTATAAAATTACTCGGAGGTATACCTCTCATCTTGTTTCATTGAAGATCCATGGGTTAAAGTTGCTCCAACTGCAAGATGCTCTGACTCAAGGCGGTTTCGGATCATTTATGTAAAGGAAGATCACATGATCGGTCCAGTTGCAAAACCGGTTCTGGTCACTTATCACCATTGTTATCATTAGATTAAAATTAAATTTATAATATGACACCAAGTAAGAATTATTAATTTGAATTTGATCTGGTAAGAAATGATAAGAAAAATAATGGTAAACATAACTTATTCCATAAAAAAATTAAAGTTTTATATTTTTCATGTTGTAATCTTACGTACATATAAAATATATAGGATCCATTTTTTTTTTCTATCCATCTTTTTATCCAAATCAGTCCTTACATATGCCTCATACATCTTTATATAAAATATGTTGGAAACAATTTATCTGATACGAGAGATGTTAAACCCCCAAAAGTTTACAATCATAAATATGTTTGGGAACAAAGTGATGTCGACATTGGATAAATGAATTCTAATCCAAAATTTACAATTCCAAGCAGTGGTTGATACAACAGGTCGAATCAATTGAAATTTATGACTGATTTGGATGAAAAGAAGAATCAGAAGAAAAACACGAAACAAATTCATTATGTTACAATAATCAGAACCACCAAGTCTTGGGGTGTGATGAAAAATAAAAATAAAAATAAAAATAAAAATAAACAATAGTAGCGGTGGCACAGGTCAACTATATATACCCAATAATCTCCTTGGGAAGCATGTCGGAGTACGAGAGCGGCGGAAGAGACGCCGGAGTGGGCGGCGACGCCGGCAAGCGGGAGCTGAAGTTTCTGATGGGGAACTCATTCTCGGGGCTCTCATTTTCGAAATTGAGGGCATAACTCGAAGGGTCGTAGCTGAAGTCAGCGGATTGTGACTGACGGTTGTGGTGGTGCTTGCGGTGGCCCATCCTTGACCTGAGGCTGCGACCCCTGACACGTGGCGTGTCCACGCCGTACTCGCTGCTCGTGGGTGATTTCCTGAACCATGATGATGGCGAAAGTGGTGTTCTTGGTGTGTCAAGCTTGTTATAATGGTCTAATGAGTGATCATGATGGTGATGATGATGATGATGAACTGTGCCCGTGAAGCAACAAATCGAAGATTTAAACTTGTCCTTCAAGGTTGATTGTCTATTGAACCCGTTATGCATCATGTAATAATCAATTATAATGTTAATACCTTCTTTTCTTTTTCTACCCGTTTTGGGTGTGAACATGCCAAAGTGAATTGTTGGTTTTGAAAGAGAGAGAGAAAGAACAAAAAAGTGATGGTTGTGGTGAAGTGTGGATTATGGTATATATAAGTTGGGGGCGTAATTCATAAGAGAGAGAGAGAGAGAGAGAAGAGGTTGAGTTGAGGATGATGTTAAGTTTTGAGTTGGGAGAGTCCGAAGAAACCGTGGGATGAACGTGGTTGGGATTTTTTCTTTTTGTTGAAACCGCGTTGTCGTGTTTTGGTAAATTTAAGCATTGACAACCTCACCCTCCACTGCCCATGTGGCAACTGTTTTCTTTTTCTTTTTCTTCTTTTCTTTTTTGGCTAATCTCTAGATAGGGTGGAGATTCGTGCCGAACAATTCCAACCTTTTTGCTGTGAAAAAAAAAATTTGTTATTAGTTTATCCTTCTAATGGAGATGGGATCCCTATTATGCTCCTAATTAAATGATTGCCTCTTCATCAATTTCTAGAAGAGTTATTAGCAGTTTCTAGATTTCCTTTTTTTTGGGCCATGTAACCAATTCCACACCACTCACAACTAATACCCTTTTCTTCATGTTTCTTATCTAACCTAGCTGATTTTAACTTACTCCTAACTCAATTAAAACTGACCATTTTTTCTTTTCATTTTTTGCGGATTCATTTGGCCTCTCTCTCTCTCTCTTGATTATGTGGTTTCAACTTTCCTTATTTCAGTATGTTTTTATCCTTCACACATATATGGAACCAAACAAAATTATCCTTAAACGTACAAATATGTAACGGTAAAGTTATATATAAGGATTGTTTTAATGAAAAGAATTTGCTCAAATATAATGTAAATAGTACTTTTTATCAAACTTGAACCATACTTATACCTATTCAAATTAGTTTTTTTTTTTTTCTGCAAAAGTATGTCATATGTCACAAAATTATAAACTACTAAACTTGCTATTATTGGTAACCAATTTAGTACGATAATGGAAACGTGTCACGTGATCTTACTAAACTTGCTAACAGTCATAATGAATTTGGATGCGTGTCTGGTAAAAGACATTATTTGTATACCATTTGAGAAAGTGAAGCATTAAGATTAGTGTTCTTGGTGGTATTACATTACCTATAAGCTTATTTATGAATCAACCATGTACTGTCACTGTTCAACGGAGAACACTAATTCCGCCAAGCACTAAGGATGGATTCCTTTGTTCGCCAACACCAAAAAAAGTAAACTGGCCAATGCCAAAATATTTATTAAAAATTATTTCAACTCAAAATTTTAAGATATCGAGTGAGGTTATATCAATGATTTTATATCTCTTTAATACATTCTCTCACGCAAAAAAAAATTGAATTCGAAGTGTGAATATTACCACTACAAAAAAAACGTTGTTTAGCCACATTCAAAAATGTGGCAAACAATGATAAAAAATGTGGCTAACAAACTTTACCACATTTTGATTAAATGTGGTTAAAATAGGTGTTGCAATAATTTAGCCACATTATTTTATTCACTTTGCCACATTTTGATTGAGTGTGGTAGCCTTTTTTTAGCCACAATTATTGTTAATTTAACCACTTTATAAATGTGGTTAAATTGTATAGTTTGCCACAATAAAAAAATGTGGCTAATAATGTTTGAAATTTTTTTTAACCACATTCATGAATGTGGCTAAATATATGATTTTTTTTAAATTTAATAATATTACATTTTTTTATTAATCTTATAAAAATAAAAAATATTAAAAATTACTTTTATCATTTAGTATGTAATTTAAAAAATAACATGATACACCCTTTAATGATTCAAATTTGCCCTGAGGTATTATGTGTACCTAATTTGATGTGTAACAAACATTTTTCATATAATAGTGAAACACTCACAACATGTATGTATCAGAAAAAAAAAACCACAACATGTGGCTTAATTGCCCTACACTGGCAGATTTTACAAGCATTTCAAATCTCACCATAAGTATCTCATGGAGGGGCAAATACCTTTCCTCTATTAGTTCAACACTTAAAGAATACCTCATTGTCTAATCCCAAAAAAGAAAATGTTCAAGCCACTGAACCAATTTTGGTAATTGAAGAAAAATATAGTGATTATCTCTAATTGTTCAAAATATCATTAATTTTCCATGAATCATTCTCCTAAACTAAAAGTATAGCTCTTTGCAAATATCAATCTTCCAAGACATGTTCTTCTATGCATCCTAGTTCTTTGAAGTGCTATTTACTCTATCACACCTGTACAAAAACCAAAAGAATTTAGCTTCATGGTAAGAAAGAGAAGAAATAAAGCTTGCAAATGATTTAAAAAAAAAAAACAAAATTATCTAAGTTTCGAACCAATTATAACAAAGAGGGTAAAACATATTGGTTGAAAGTAGCTAACTCACTTCCAAATTTATCTAGTAAAAATTTGTGAAGAGAAGCCAATTGCTTTTGAGTTTGCACAAGCTGCTCCTTGGTCTCTTCATATGCAATCTTGGTCTCTTCATATCCCACCTTTATCTCTTCATATCCATCCAACTTTATTTCCAAAGATTGTACATGTTTCTTCAAGTCTTCAACACATTGTTGACTGGAACTACCAAAATTAGTAAAACCAATAGAATGTCTTGGCATTCCAAAAACATTGGAGGGGCAAACACCAGCGCCTAAGCCACGCACCCGACCCGAAGGCTCAGCTCCATATACCTTTCCAATAGCATCATCAGGATAAGCTAATACCTTTGATGGAACACCTATAGTGGCAGCACGCTCTTGATCTTGAGATAGGTGCTCTGATATCTTTTCCTACAAAATAGTTAAAGTCAGCCAACAAATACACATCAGGAAGAGCACTTTCTCTTCAGCAAAATTCTTGAAGCTTTGGCAGAATGGTTTGACCTCATAGTTTGCATAATTCCAGTTTGATGAAGCAATTCAATAAATCATGCTTTAATTTTTCAACATAGCAAAAAGCTGTAACAAATCATGCTTTCAATATAGATATATAAGTCTATAGAAAATAAGGAGATATCAATAGTTATCCTATATGTGACAAATAAGAATTTTTTTTAATTTAGAAAATAAGGAGATATCAATAGTTATCCTATAAAGATAATAAAATTATGGCAGTTTATCAATTTAGAAATCGAAAAAGAATAAGAAAAAAGGCAGAAAAAAAGTATACAGAGTAACATAGAAAAAAAGAAAAAGTATGAAACCACCTACCAAACCCCCTAAAGAAGTCATAAGGCCAGTCTTCTACTAGTTTTTAATGAGTCTTGATTTCCCTCCGTCATCTACTACTGTTAAAATAATCTTTAAAGTTCATACTCATTTATTATCATCATGATGATCATTAATTATCTAACAAGTAACATAATTATAGCATTGTTTTGTATCGTATCACTTACATTTTTAATTATTTTATTTTAGAAAAAAAAATATGCAACTCTATGATCCGTTAAGGGCAAGATCTAAATGAGGTTGAAATATCAGGACCTAAGTACATTTTGATTGTAGGATGGGTGACCAACTAGAATGTTGCTACTTGCTAGTGGTCCTCCATGTTTTAATTTATATAATGCAATTGCACCAATATTAGCTAATCATTCAAGTACTGTTTTTAATATTGTACTGCTTAATTATCAGTTTGGCAATGGACATTTATTCCAATTATATTGCAGTAGCAAACAGAGACCCAGTTGGGGTGGGTTTTAATATTGCAATAAATGGAGAAAATAACTAGTTGTTCGTTTTCAATGGATTGTATTCTTTGTAATTGTACACGACACTGATAGGCCTAAACAGAGGCAAGTGGATAAAAATTTACAATTACTTGTTATTATAAGGCAATAACTACATATCAATTCAATGTCCTAATAAGTTAAATTAAATGGAGTCAGAATCAAATGGTTTAGGTTATTATAAGGCAATAACTAGATATCAATTCAATAACATAATCAATTAGACTCATTTACTTACAACCAAAGTCTTCCCTTCTTCATTTACGTAGCTTCCATCCTTCTTCAATAAAGTTGATAAAATAACCTCACTTCGGCATACAGGTCTTCCCAATTGTAACTCCTAATGTCATTGATAAAAAAATAAATTATCAAGATGATATGTTACTAACATGCTTGCAATAATGGGTTCATTGAAATTGGAAAGAATAAGAAAAGAGTAAAGAGTAAAGCTACCCAGAAATGAATACACTAGCAGCTTTAAATTTATAATTAGAAGTAACATAAAGAAACCAAAAAAATACTCACAGTGTAAGTTTTGTATAAAACAACTTGGATCCAGTATATATTGAATTGTCATGCCAAAGTAACATAATAATAATAATAATAAAATATCAGGGTTGACATAGGGATTGCAATAAATATGCTTTTACCATTTCACGGCCTCTCCTTGCATTGCTTTTACTACCACCAGCATGTGAGACTTTAAGCTTCTTACGACTTTGTGTGTTTTGTATACTTCGTGCCTATAATTTTAAAATACGATAATCATAATATACCAAGTTTTTCAAGATGTGCATAAAGTAAAAGAATTTCCTATAAAGAATGTTTACCTTCATCTTATCATCCTTATAGTGATGCACAAAAGCAGTCCAATCAACACAATTAACATCTGGAGGAGGATTAGCAAGTATATCCTCCTTACTTTTATTAGGATAAAAATTCTTACACCTTAATCTATATTTGTGGGCCTTCCATCTTTCACCTAAGGTGCTCATAGCCCATTTGATGCCACCAGCATAATCAAACTCAAAATTTTCCTTCAAATATTATATGCATAAATCAATCTTTAATGACAAGAGAGACAATAAATTAAATTAAATTAAATTAAATTAAATTAAATTAAATTAAATTGCTGGAAATTTAGATAATTACCTCAATATAATTCCATTGTTGGCGGTTATTGTCTTCTGGCATCCAATTCCATTTTTCAACTGATATTGGACAAATTGTTGAGTTTTGAACAAGCTTACCAAGAAACCTCACAAGTAAGTTTGCACCATTGTCATTGCCTTGTCCATTACCATTGAGTTCAACGATAACTTTTTTAGTTTTTTCCAAATGCCAAATCTGATTTGCTTGCATTTTCCGAGTCACAATTTCTCCTGAAGAAGTATCTGCCATTATGTAGACAAAGCAAAGTTAGTTTATCAAAGGTAGAAAATTAAAACATACTACAATTAACATAACAAATAAAAATAAATGCTAGTGTGCGTCATTGTGGCATTAATAAGTTGGGATTACTGGATTAGCCTGTTGTTTTTCTTGATTTCACACTAAATGGTTGCGTTGGTGGGACCTTGAGCATCCATTTCCGTGCTAGATAAGATTCTTAGCTGTGTATTTGACCAACGATCACTTTCCAGTCATCATAAAAGAATGTACAAATAAAATAAAAGAACAAAAAAAAGGGTAGAAGTGGCTATAGCTTGCTCGAAAAGGTGAAAAGGATATACCCTTTATTGATGGAACTTGGAAGAACGACAACCAATGTTTCCATTAATATAAAGTGTGAAATTAATAAACGTGGAACAACAATCAACTTGATCTTGTATTCGTTCACACACAAATAAACTATTAGATAGATTTTTAGTAATGATATTTTTACATTTTTCTATAAATTTTATATTTTCGAAATCTTTATATAGAAATACAACGCATCTTATTGGATATTGCTCTACAAGAACCAATCCCTATACAGATAGTGATGTAATGAGTTTTGATATGTCGATAATTTGATTTGCTACTTTGCACAATTTAGCTGCATGAGGATTGATAAATTAAAGTTATCATTAAAAGTTGTAATATATTTTATGGCTATACTATAATTTTATAAAATATAAAACAAATAAATAATATTTTTGGAGAGATATTACCTCTAATCTTGACAACCAAGGGGTCCTCTTTCTGTTGTGATCGTGTTTCATTTGGGTTTATGGAAGAGTCTAATTCTTCATCATTAGATGAAATGGTATTGTTGACATTTGTTGAATGGGCATCCAGATGATTATCATTAAATTGTTGTTGCAAACCTTGGGAGCTTTCACTATGATTGTCACTATGCTTCCCTCGTAACTTCTCTAACATTTCTTTTGCTGAATTCTTTCGCTTTTGCCTCATTTTGTACCAATTTCCTGTAGAATTTGCTAACACATGACACTAAATATGAAACTAAAATACATACTAAATGATTTGCAAAAAATATAGTACTAACATTCAGAATAGAGTAAGTTTACTATTACAATCTTCATGATAATTTGTACTAAATTATGAAATGGTGCATAGGAAACACATACCAAATATGAAGCCAAAATTCATACTAAATGGTCTGTAGAAAATATTAAAATTCACAATAGAGTAAATTTGCTTAGTACATAACATAGCTAGTCTAACATTCTTCCTACATCTCCATCACTGCAACTATTATGATCTTCATCATAATTTGGTTCATTTTGTTCTTGTTCATTGACATCATCCCGAACTAATTGTAATTCTTCAATATTCTCCAAATGTTGCTCACAGAAAGGTATGTCCTCCATCAATGGCTCTTCCAAGTCCATTAAGTTCACATCTCCCATATCATATATGTCTCGAGGTTTCACATGACAAACACAACACCAATCTTGATCAATTGGATCATCAACATAATATACCATTCTAGCATCAGCTGCAAGGATAAATGGTTCATCTGTTTCATGTGCACCTGTGTGTATCATGCGAGAAAAGTTTACACTTGTTATCCCAAATTCATCTATCTTGACTCCCTTGTTAGGTGTAGTGTCTACCCAAATACATTTGAATAGCACAACCCTTAACTTGCCATAGTAATCTAACTCTATAATATCAACCAATTTCCCATAGTACATAACATCAATTGATCTTTCAATAGGTTCCCTACCACTTGAAAATCTTTTAGTAATGGCAGACATAACAACCCCACTATTCTGTGTACTCAATCCTTGCTCCTTCCTCTCTGTACGAAACTTAAAACCATGAATATTATACCCATTAAATCTCCTTGCAATATTATTTGGCCCTTTTGCAAGCCATTCAATTTCAGTCAAAATAGTGGGATCATCCTTTCTTGCAACCTATTATTTTTTAAAAAGTATTAGGATAATTGTGTAGAGCTTTTATGATAAAAAAAAATATCTAAGTGAATTTAAATATATATATATATATATATATATATATATATATATATATATATAGTCTTACATATTCTTTAAACCACTCGTGAAAATGATTGTGCATGTAATCTTCCACAATTTTGGAGGTGTTTTTTTTGCCACGATGCATCCTTGTAACCTCAGCTCTACACTTCCTGGATGAAGAAGTTCTAAGTTATTACCTATGGTGAGTTTGTAACAAATCAAAATGAGGTCACTTGTAACTTACTCGCGAAATGTATCAACTAGTTCACAATTAGTTAAGACATAGCGGTGAGCTTGCATCTTCTCCAAGGGTTGTAGGGAAATAACCTTGATAGCACCAATAGGTCTGCCTGATGTAGGAAATAAATTCAACAAAATAGTTGATTCACTACTAGCATTAAGTTCATGGTCATCATTATTGCGTCTTGGTCGATTAAACCTCGTTTCAATGTCACCATCATCTAAATATCTTGAACAAAAAGTGAGACATTCCTCCATTAAGTACCCTTCAGCTATACAACCTTCTGGTGTGGCTTTGTTACGAACATATGATTTTAAATGGCCGAGGGTCCTAACAATAAAAGAAAACAAATCTTATAAAAGAAAAATCATTAAAATATAACAAAAATTTGATATATAAAAGAATATACCTTTCAATAGGGTACATCCATCTGTATTGTACCGGACCAGCAATCATTGCTTGCTCTCCAAGATGAATAACCAAATGAACCATAATGGTGAAAAAGGATGGAGGGAATATCATCTCCATGTGGCAAAGGGTCAAAGCAATTCGTTGTTGTAGTTTCTCTAAATACTTGACATCTAAAACTTTGCTTGATACTTCTCTAAAGTAGTTACATAGCTCAATCAAAATAGAAGTAACTTCTTTAGGAAGAGTTCTTCTTAAGGCAATTGGCAAAAGATGCTCCATCAGAATGTGTGAATCATGACTCTTTAAACCAGAGATCTTGCGTTTCTTAATGTCAATGCATCTAGAAATGTTTGATGAGTAATTATCAGGGAAAATCACATTCTTTAGAACTTTTAGGAAGATATCTTTCTCCAAATTCTTCATTTTAAAGCATGATGGAGGAAACTTAGAGGAATTAGGATATGGATGAAGCTTTTCTCTAATTCCCATTTCCTGTAAGTCTTTACGAGCTTGAAAATTATCTTTTGTTCTCCTTTTGTCATCAAGCACTGTGAACAATATATTATCACAAACATTTTTTTCTATATGCATCATATCAAGGCAATGACGAATGAGGTTATGCTCCCAATACGGTAGATCCCAAAAGATACTCTTTTTCTTCCATTGTTGTGGGCCAATCTCACTTGTACCTTCATCCTCAACCCTTTTTTGACTCACCTCAATTTGTCTTAACATGTCTGAACCTGATGGTGGAATAGGCGCAGGCCTAAGTTCAGTAGAACCATCAAAGGAATGTTTGTTGTATCTGTACTTGTGATCAGGTGACAAATACCGACGATGCCCCATGAAACAATTTTTTCTACCAAACTTCAACCTTTTAGATTCTGTGTTAAAATTACATGATGGACAAGCAAGCAATGTATGTGTATTCCACCCAGATAAGTTGTCAAGACCTGGAAAGTCACTTATAGTACAAAACAATGAAGCACGCATTTGAAACATTTCATCAGTAGAGGAATCATAAGCATCTACACCAATCCATAATTTTTGTAATTCTGCAACTAGGGGCTGCAGGTAAACATCAATATTATTGCCAGGCATCTTAGGACCAGGAATTATCATTGACATGATAAGAGAAGTTTGCTTCATACAACACCACGGAGGATAGTTATAAATATACAACATCACTGGCCAAATGCTATTATTGGAACTTAAAGTTCCAAATGGATTGAAACCATCGGTAGCTAATGCAATTCGTAAATTACGCGGCTCTGAAGCGAAATCCGGATACAATAAGTCAAATTCCTTCCAGGCTTTACTATCTCTAGGATGCCTTAATAACCCATCTGGGTTTACCCCCGTAGCATGCCATTTCAACTGCTCTGCAGTTTTAGAGCACATGTATAGTCTCAGCAATCTAGGTATAAGTGGAAAGTATCGCAATACTTTTGCTGGTTTTGTTTTTTTCTTCTTTGTGTCGTCCATCATATTATTTGCACCACCATCATTTTCATTTGATTTCCATCTGGATGTGTTGCACTTCTCGCATTTATCCATCTTCTCAGCCTCCGGTGAACCCCAAAATAACATGCAATTTTTTGGACATGCATGAATCTTATCATAGCTTAGACCCAACCTTTTAATCATCTTTTTTGCCTCATAGAAAGATGTTGGCAATTTAGCATGGGGAAAAGCATCATTTAAAAGTTCAATAATCAAAGAAAATGTTTTATCAGTTGCACCACATAAGACTTTTATATGATACAACCGAACAATGAATGACAATTTGCTATATTTTGTGCAACCATCGTAGAGTTCTTGATTCCCATCCCTTAGCAATTCTTTAATTTTTTCTAACTCTTCTTTACTGGCATCTTTTGTACCCCCAGTGTGGTCGCCATTAGGTTGATTTGATGTGTCAGAATCTTCAATTCCATGATCATCAAAGACACCAAAAACATCATTTAACATATCTTGCATTGGATATTGTCTAATTGGGTCTTCGCGTGCTTGTGCTTCTTCAACATTGGATTGAATATGTTTTTCCCCATGCATGTACCAAAATGTGTACTTTCTTGGAAAACCCTTTTGAAGTAGATGACTTAACACTTCAGTTTTATCACACATACTACGAAATCCACACTTAATGCAAGGACATAAAATTTGTCCATTAATAGATGCGTTTGAAAAGGCAAAGTCCAAAAATTGGACTACCCCATATAGGTACTCTTTTGATCTAAGTGGCTTCTCAATCCAACTCTTATCGATCATAATTAGTTAAATCTGTTTTCAAATTTAATTTAAATCGAATCAAAAGGCATTTAAAATATCTAATAATAAAATATTAAAATAAAATAAAATTCACTTTAGAAAATACCTTTAGATGCTGATCACTTTATATATTGAGTCGATGGTCACACCTCCAAGATTTGTATACTGAGCCAATCTACACGGCTGAAATCTCCTGCCTCCTATGGACATATATAAGGTAACAATATTTTTTTTTTGGTAAAAATTCACAATATATTTTAAATTAAATAAAAACATCCACTTTCTTACTTTTATTGACCTAATTTTTATGTTATTCTCCTCACAATATATTTTTATGTTATATCTAGAAACAACTTTCATTAAGCTAATCAGTACATGAAATCATTATACAATTAGCAATGTTTAGATATACACTTTATAATCAGCACAGGTAATAAAGGATACATATGACATACTTGAAAGCGTAACCCCATCACCGGTTTAAAATCATAAAGGCGTGGGCCAGCTTCATGATAAAGTTCAAAATATTTACTAATAAGAATTTATTAGAATTTGTCAAATCTGAGAACCAAAGAGTACAGGGGGCATGCAACTTCCCCTTAAATCCACATTTTTAGCTTATAGGCAAATGAACCATCAATGACTAATGGTTCTTATCTTTAATATATACCAAAAATTAAAGAAAAGAAGTAAAGCTAAGAAAATAATGCTAAGCCAAGAGAAGAAAACTTGTTTAAAATTTAGACACTGGATAGGAGTAGGTATCCAACCATACCTGTTCCTGCATCATATTGCATCACAAAATTACTTTTAATTATTTATTAAATTACTCTCTTCACTTTATTTAAACTGTTATTTACTTTGCAATTTTAGTTGATTGCTGAATCTTTTGATAGAATAAAAGCATACCTGTGTTTGTTGTCTACTTTCAATTAAAAGCTGGGGATATTCACAAAAAACTGCATCACAAAGTTGAAGGAGATTGTTACAATTCAGTACCAATTAAAACTTTCAGAGCCTTCATGATAGAATCCTTGAGAATAGGCAAAGAAACTTCCTGCGAATAATACAAAGACTCGTTAGCTCTGGAATCAAAAAAATCTAACAGGGAGACCAAAATTTGAGTCCTTAATCCATATGCATCAAATTTCATGAACATGATCATTAGTTCCATTGTTTAATGCAATCATAACAGTAAAACCAGTCTTCCATAATGCACAGCCATGTGTAAAAAAACTTTTGCAGCTATTGTGCTCTACAAAAAAATCACTTGACACCAAAACTTATTTTAGAAAAAATCCAGATTCCCCTTTTCCCAAATAGATGAATAAATATAAAACTATGACATGATGAGTAGCAAAAGAACTGCATAACAAATTTAAACCTCGAACTGAATGTCTTGACAGTTCAATAAAAATTTGTCTTCAAAATTTGAAAAACTAAGAGAACCAAATTTCTCATAACCCAGATTTCAAAAATTTAAAACACAAGAACACACGTTTTAGCATACTGATGATTATGAAAGTTAATATCACAGAACAAAAAGGGAAATTAAAATTACCGTCTTCCCCTCAATTCCAAATTGAAAGAGCAGAATATTTTGTGAGTGAAGAAACTCTAGATTTTCTTGTGGATAGGGCTCAGGACATAAGTATCTGCAGCAATTTGCAACCTCACACATTAAGTTTCACACCAACCATAACAGAAAAAAAATCATCATATAACATAAACCCAGTAAAAATTGATTAAGAATAAAAGCATACGATAGAATAAAAGCATGACATGATGAGTAGCAAAAGAACTGCATAACAAATTTAAACCTCGAACTGAATGTCTTGACATTTCAATAAAAATTTGTCTTCAAAATTTGAAAAACTAAGAGAACCAAATTTCTGATAACCCAGATTTCAAACATTAAAACACAAGAACACACGTTTTAGCATAACTGATGATTATGAAAGTTAATATCACAGAACAAAAAGGGAAATTAAAATTACCGTCTTCCCCTCAATTCCAAATTGAAAGAGCAGAATATTTTGTGAGTGAAGAAACTCTAGATTTTCTTGTGGATAGGGCTCAGGACATAAGTATCTGCAGCAATTTGCAACCTCACACATTAAGTTTCACACCAACCATAACAGAAAAAAAATCATCATATAACATAAACCCAGTAAAAATTGATTAAGAATAAAAGCATACGATAGAATAAAAGCACAGTCGCCAAGTAATATATGATGATATACTAATTTCTAACTGAAGGCAAATTTAAAAATAAAATTCACATCACAGCCGCAAAAAGAATGAAAGAAACTCACCGTGGACGATGGAGCAAGGTGTGGCGCAGGCTTCAAGTTGAGACGCAACACGTCACAGGGTTCGAAATCGATGAGAAGTAAATTTTAACTAAGTATTACAAATATACAGAACTTATTGAAACAGAAGAAACGAGAGAGAGTACCTGACTATGAGAGAGAGTTAACTTCAGAGCCCTAAAAACTAAAGTTCCACTATAATTTCAGAACCTTAAAATTGCATGAAAAAACTAGATCTGAGATCGGCACTTCGAATCATAGAGATGAAACGTAAACCTGAAATTTCAAAAATAATTAAATAAAAATATATAATACTAAAAAATATTGTGAACATTCATAGATCTGTAAGGATCTAAAACTAGAGTCATCTTAGCACTGAGAAATTCTACCACGATTTGAAGCCTAAAGAAAGGAACTGAGTTCCAAGCCTAAAGAAGGAGGATAGACTTTAGTGTTTATCCCTAATAGAACAGAGTAATAGAGTAGTGAATAGAAATGAAAAATATTTTTTAGAAATAAAAGATAATAAAAAACTCAAAAATAATTTTACTTCATTTTGAAAATAGTGTGGCTAATCAGGGGTATTTTCGGATTTTTATCAACATTTTAATAAATGTGGTTAAACTAATGTCCCTGTAAGCCTTGTTTTTTGTAGTGTAATCATATTTTTTTTTTTCACATCAGAAAATTCAGATCCAACAAACTTATAAAGCTTACTTTCAAGAACCAATCGAGGTAGAGGTGTAGGAAAATCGAAGGAGCACTATTGCACAAGCTTGCAGTTGCCACTCTCGCACACGATATAGTCAATGCTCAGCTCAGCCCAAACATTTTTACAAACACATCAAACTATAAAGATATACTTTTTCATTTTTTTTTTAACTTTAATAGATTTTTTTTTTAAATATAGATGTATAACTATTACCACACGTGTGCAGGACTAATTGGTTAATTGGTGATTAGTTAGCGATAAGCTACTCTCCCCTGTGTTCATAAGGCATATATTGATCTTAATTGTATTAAATAAAAATTTGCTTTAGGTACTTAAAATTCAATGCATATTATCGTATACTAATTTCAAAAAAGTAACCATTTGTTATAAAAAAAATTATAAAAAAGAGAGTAAAAATTTCGTTTTAATTCCTCTCAATTTTATGTGACCGTTGCCATGTTTCTCAACAATAGCCGTTTAAATTATTGAAATAGTTAATTCTTTACGTGAAATCAAATAGTAACATGATGGTTTCACAAGATATAAATTAAAAGAACTTAATTAATCAAATTTAATAAAGACAGGTCTATCTCATGTTTCATGCGTGCATTTTTAGCTTTATTCTTGAATTCATGTCACTATTTTTAGCTTTAATTAATCATTTTTAGCTATATAAAAAGAAAGAAAGCAAACATGACAGCTATCATAATGTTATAAACAATATATTGTTTAGTGCGTTTATATATATCTTTTAGGCAAAATTATCTCTCTATCTATGGCAGAAATATTTTGTCTGTCACAGACACATATTTATCAAGATACGATGTTGAATCCTGATAATTATTTAAAAAAAACAGTGGGTCCTATTTTTTGTCTATGCGGCAGAAAGAAAATATCTGTAGTTGATGCAGAAAAACCGAACACATATTTTTTATAAATATTTATAAAAAACTGAACCCTTTTTATTCATTCATACATCATTAACATTTTTATAAGTACTTATAGAAAATTTGGATTCGATTTTTCTGTAGCAGCGACATATATTTGCTTTCAGCCGCAAAGACAAAAAAAATGGATCTATTGATTTATTTATTTTTTTAAATTAGGATCCAACACCGTATCCTGATAAATATGTGTTTGCGGCAGATAAAATATTTCTGTCGCGGCCGCAAAAATAATGTTGCCAATATATACATATATGAAGAACAAATAAACTCAGGCAGATTTGATCAATTGGATGATATGCACTTTATTATTCATACTACTGGCAAATTAATAGCTAATCAATACTTAATGAACTATACCAAGTAATTAAGCTTCCTTTCGATCGAGTTGGAGTTGCATATATAATCTTCTATGCATAACTGCACATTCCATACACACACGAGCTTCCCTTGTTGCATTTGTTACCACATTTCCCACAGTGCTTCTCGTTAGTCATAGGGTTCACACACTTACCGATGCAGCATATTTTCTTGTAGCTGCATTTCTTTCCACACCTCCCACAGTTGAATGTGTGTGTCAACAAATTCACGCATTTGTTTTTGCAACAATCAGGGCCTGGGCTACGCTTAAGATAACATAATCTTGGATTTATTTGGCAAGTGAACGTCACGCCTCTCCCTCTAATGTGGGCAAGGAAACGACTTGTTCCACGAAGAGAGGTAGGTTCTTCAATTTCAGATGGAACATTAGCATCATCAGCTTCATTGTCATCTGTAGTACTGGGGAGAGATTCTCCTTTGGAAAGAGTGCTGAATGAAACCGCAAGCATGGCGAGAAAGAAGAGAATCTTCAAGGATTTCATGTTTGTGTAGTGAAGTGAAAGTGCA